AATTGACGTGTCATTCCGAATAAATCTTTTAGTCGTTGATGCCAATATTGTGGACTACCTCGAACTGATTGCAAATGACGATATATCATATCTTTATTCATTAGAAATTTCATTTGCATTTCATCCAAACTTTGTTTGGCACTCATTGGTAACTTTTTTCGGAAAGCGATATTGATTCCGGAATACACTTGTTTCAAGTCACCTAAATACTGTAGATAAAAGATATAACTTGAATCAGCAGCAAAACGAGAATCTGATGAGAATAGACGTGCTTTACAATATTCTTTCCATTTTAGATCAATTTCACGTTCTTCATCATATGAGCCTTGTCCATCTGGAAATAAATGAGGAAAGGCTAAAGCTTCAATTGTTTTATCTGTTAATAATGAACTCAATTTATTTTTTTCAGCTGGTGCTACTACACATGGTTCTTTATCAAAGACTAAAAAATCATTAAAATCACATGGTTGAGTACATGAATCTGTACCAATATTATATTTAGTACGAATATCTTTATCATCTTCATCGATTTCTTCATCACTATTGATACTATTATCAATATCACCTAATGCTAATGCTTTTAGACGTGTTTCATTAGATACTTCTACTTCTTCAATTAAATTTTCTTGTTCAATGGCGTCAACATCCATTGTTTCAACTGTTAAATCAGTGTTATTTTCCAAAATTTTTTCTTGATCAGAGGTAAGATAATTTTCATGAATTTCATTTATCTTAATATTTTTATATGCTGGATGCATTTTTGTTAAAATAAATAATGCATCTCGTATATCATTTGGATTTATTAACTGTTCTTCCCATACAGCTTTATATTTTAATCGTCGTTTTAGTTGCAATCGAACCATCATAGATTTATCAACTGGACGAGGCAATGTGGTTACAGTGTCTTGTACATCAGATGGCACACAATGAAGTGGTCCTTTAGTACCTTTTTGTGCTAATCTACTTGATAATTTACCTGATGTTAGATTTACAATTTTCAAAAATGGTAATCGGAGAGCAATCAAATGTTTTTCAAGATTATTCAATTTTTTTAATTCAGATGGAATTTCACTGACTTCCAATTTATTCACGATTGCTCGACTTGGCATTTGTCGTTTTTTAATTTTATCTGAACATAATTTACAAATCCATTTTCTTTCTCTTAATGATGAATAGTTAAAGTAAGATTGAATATGATTTTTTATTTCAAATAACATGTTTTGTTTTATATATTTTTCCTCAACAAATGGTAGAACCTGATTACGAAAAAGTGCTAATCGACATGATATACAGATATAATCAGGTCCTTCTCGAATTATTTGTCGAAATCTATTCAAGCTATTTATGTATAAATCTCTATGTTTTATTGTACATTTATGACTTTGAATGATAGTATATTTTTTAAAGATACGTCTACGTTGATTATAAAGACGTCTTGAATTCTTTCTTATCAATGTATTGTTATTTTGATACCAATTCAAAGCACACTGAATCATTCTCAATCGTATTGATTTATCAGATTTATATCTCTTCGAGACTTGTATGTTCATACGTGCTTTATATTCATTTCGAAATTTTGAATTATTATGATATTTATTCAAAATATGTACATTAGCTTTTGATTTAACTTTATTACGAAATTGTATATTGTTATAGTATTTATTTAAAAAGTGCATCTTTGCTTTTGATTTAACTTTATTACGAAATTGTATATTGTTATAGTATTTATTTAAAAAGTGCATCTTTGCTTTTGATTTAACTCCATTACGAAAATCTATATTATTATAGTATTTATTTAAAATATGTATCTTTGCACGTTCGTTATTTTCAACACGAAAATTTCTATTGCTACGATATTTTACTGAAATATGTGTTTGTATTCGAGCCTTTTCTTTTTCACGAAAATCATTGTTATTATGATAGTTATTCCGAAAGTATTTTGTTACACGTTCATTTTTTTGTTCTCGAAATAAAATATTATGACGATATTTTTTTCTGAACCAAATACTTTGTCTAGTGTGCTTTAAAACTGATCTTGCATTACTACTAGCAGTCTCTGACATTCTTTTTTGCTTTCGAATCTGTAATTGTCTTTTTCGTTCATTGTCTAGTCGAGAAACTTTTGATACAAGTTTTTTAATAATATCTTTAATGATCTTGTAATCATCAAATTGATCTTTCACCTTGATCACATCAGAAGATATAGCTTGCATATCTTTGTTAACAAAATTGACACAATCTGAAGGAATTGCATCTGCTTTTACTTGCCGCTTATAGGCTTCTTTTCTTTTTTTCACTTTTGATGCAACTGATTTTTTACGAACCATATCTGATATAATGATATGTGATTAAATAGCTAAAATTGAAAACAATTGCCGTTTCTCGTTGAGAGTAAGCACATATATAAACGAAACACGGCTTAAACTCCTAAGTGAGAAACGTCTATATCTCTTAACTTGATGAGATATTCAAAAGAAAAGTTTCTTTCGAGCTAGATCTTCTTGATTACTAAGCGAAGATATAGTCGAGACTAAGTAAGAAACTTCAGAAAGTCTAAAACTAGGCGACTTTCTTTCAATTAAACTTTCAATTTATTATTCTTTTGTCTTGTAATAATAATTATAATCAAAAGAAAAGTTTCTTTCGAGCTAAATCTTCTTTATAAGTAAGCGAAGATATACTCGATGCTAAGTAAGAAACTTCAGAAAGTCAACAATTTAGTGTGTTTTTTTTTAATGAAATTTTAAATCTAATGTTGTTTGTTTTTGTAATAATAGTTATGATGAATGAAATCTAAAATAAAGTTAAAAAAATACAAAATCAATAACATAATGTAAGGAAAAGCATTTAAATGTATTAATTGTAGCCCTTAAAAAACAATTAACACAAATCCTATTTATTTATCTAATTAGTTCTGCTAGACAAATGAAATTCTATAACTATGAAACTTTTTAGTACATGAAAAAAGAAAGATCAATAAACAATATCATTTTTTTACAAAAAGGAAAAAGAAAAGCATTGATATTTATGATAAACAAATAAAAAAAAAACAGATATAACTTCGTTTCTCCTTTTTCACCACGTCGACCTTCACTAGTCGGAATACCTTCACTATATGATGAATGATTATAAAATACTGAAGGACAACCACTTGATTTTGAATTTGCTTTATTATGAATCTATGAAAAAAAGAATTTTTTCTCATACAATTTAATGAAAATGAAAATATTTCACATATCATACTGATTTATTAATTTTTTAAAATTTTCACATTCAATAAAATGTTGAATATTTTTTTTTTTGACTAAATTCTTTTTCTAACAAATTCTGCATATACAATTAAACCAATGTTATTGTTAAGTTATTTTTCAAAACTAACTGTTCATGATGTTGCTGAACAATGTTATTCATTTAAGTCAATTGAACCTTCTTTAATACTTGTTTCATGTTGTAATGATATTTCATCGTCATTGTTAATTTCTGTTAAACACTAATAAAAGGAAGAAATAATTATATAATTTAAAGAAAAAAGTTATAAGCATACAAAACCAGTTATTAAAATATAAATAAATTGAAGCAAGATGTACACGTAAATCTTCAATAAATAGTGAAGAATCAATAATTTGTATGAATTAAATATAAATCATTAACAAATAAATGAAAACGGGGATGATGATCAATGCATAAAAATTGACCTGTTGCTGTTATTGATATTGTACTAGTTCTTTCTAATTCATTATAAAGTAATTTATTATCAACGAAAGATGATGGCGATGAAGATAAATATGCTATTGGATAAAAATCATCATCTTGACAAGATCTAAAGAAGAAAAATATTTTATTGAAATTAATAAATAAACAAATATAAAATTTTACTCAGGTCGTGAAATATATTGTTCATATTGTTCGTTTTCATCATTCTATTTTCCAATTGAACATTATACATTATAATGGATTTCGTAATGATGATCCCATAAACGGTTGAGATGGTGTCCCTGTTGTCCAGGAGTTAATATTTGAATCAATTGACATTGCAAAAGAACTATTTGTTGAACATGCATCTAGAAAAAATACTGTCATAAAAAAACTGCTAAATCGATTTAATCAATGATATATGAAATATGACACTTTATGAAAATCTCGAATGTATCATAGATATATGACAAGTCTGTCTTTTAAATTAATATCGACACCAGATTCGCACATAGTTGGTTAAAAATTTAGCTAATCGAAAATTCCAACTGCTAGTAATATGTGATTTTCATCAGATGCTAGCGAGACAGCAAGAGATACAAGTTTATAGAAAAGCTAAGGATTAGACAATCGATTACAATAGTTAGTTGATGAAATCTTTGAAAAACAAGACTCATTTTCTTATATAATCTGAAAAAATCAAACTGAAATTTTCAACTTACATCTCCCTAGTATAGCCCGATGTCCTTTGAAAAATATGATCGCTAATTCTTATATTGTCATGCAGTTGTCATTTAAGCCAGAAAAGGCAGCGAAAATAACCTTTATCAAACATATCAATATTTGGATTGTTAAATAGTAACTATTTATATAATTGTCAAGTTCGATTATTAATATTTATTCGATATTATCTATCATCTGTATCATGCTAATATGTTACCCGAAATGAATTAACTTTATTACGAATCTATCAAAAACGAATTTATATTATAAAACTTAATGAAAAAAAATTAAACCTCTTGTTGATTTATTCAATTTATACAATTCTTACATTTAATCAAAAATTGAATATGTTCTTGACTAAATTCTGTTTTTTTTTTAAATTTTGTAAATACATTTAAACCGATATTATTATGAAGTGATTTTTCAAAACAAACTGCTGATGATGTTCTTGTACAATATTATTCATTTAATTAAATTGAACCCTGATTTATACTTGTTTTATATTGTAATGATAATCGTTCTTCATTATTAATTCCTGTTAAAAACTAATAAAAAAAATATTTATCATACAATTTAAACAAAAATTTATAAACATACATGACCAATTCTTAAAATATAAGCTGAAACAAAACATCCTCATAAATCTTCAACAGATGGTCGAGAATCAACAAATGAATGATCACGAGGTTTATTATCAAATAATTCACCATCAAATAAAGATGATGAACATGAACATGAACCTACTACTGGACCAGACTCATCATCTTGTCAAAATCCAAAAAAAAAATATTTTGTTGAAATTAACAATTGAATATGAAATTTGCAGGATTCAAATTTATTTAATGTTGAATTAAATTTTCAAAATTTAAAAAATTTTTGATTTTCTTTTAACTAACTCTTTTTAATTTTTATTATTATGATAAATATCAAAATAACTAACATAGTCAATCGAAGAAAATGTAAAGCTATCATGTTTGATGCTTAAATGATGATGATAAATGAGAATCAGCAACATTAGCACTTGGTGTTAAAGGTGAATCCATATCTTTCAATAAAATAATATTATTTATTTATGATAATAACATTTAAAGATTTGTAATTGTGGAACTTTCGATAAACGTTTACGATTTATATTAGACAAAGATTTTTGATGACATTCATCTAATTAAATCTACTCGACATATGAAACTCGATAACTATGAAACCTCTACGAAGACTTGCAATTGATTTTCTAAGGAAACAAATATATGCATTGATGTGTTTAATATACGAAGAGAACTCTATAAGCAACTACCAATAGTTTTCTAATGAAGACAATTTATTGATCGGTTGATTTTCTTTCAGATTCATTATCTATGATCAGCTGCTTTCACAGCTGTTTAACATATGAAAAAGAACGGAGTGGCGCCTAACTTTGCTTTGTATTTTCGATTTTCATTATCTCAAAACGAGCGAGCAATTAAGTTCTGCAAAATTTGTCATTTTCGGAAGGTATTTTTGAGAAAACTAAAAATGCTTTGAAAACGAACTCAACAGATAGTATCGGTTAGATCTCGATACTAGGATCTCGCGTTTGAACCATAGTTTTTGGAGTTTCTGTTCTCAAGATAATCACGAGGGAAAATGACAAATTTCAAAGTAAAAATTAATTATCTCGAAGCTCGAAGAACACTAAGTCCTTAAAAATTCGTTGTTTTTGGACGCTATTTGTAAGGAAACTGAACATGTTTCCGCAGACTTGAAAACAAAAGGTATCAATTTCATCTCGATATTTTTACCTCACGTTTGAACGAATATTTTCTGACTTCCCGTTCTGGAGATCATTCGAACAAAAAATGGCAACTTTTATGCGTACGTCGAGAAAGTAAAATAAAAAAGTAAAAAAAAAAAAAAACTCGCGCACGACTACATAAATGCTCTGCTTCGCACCGCATTAAAAAACTCGCGAAGGACTACATAAATGCTCCTGCTTCGCAGGGCATTAAAAAAAAACTCGCGCACGACTACATAAATGCTGTGCTTCGCACCGCATTAATAAGTTGACTCAAAGATAAACATATGAATTAAAACTAATATCATTAAATAGAATAATTATAGAATTTATTTAAACTATTCAAGAAAACTTTCTACTGAATGATTTTCATCATGATATAGAACGGAAAGAAATTATTTATTTTTGGCCAATCCTATCTCATTGGATAGATTATTCAACCGAATTGTTCCATCGAACGAATTTTTCATTACATTCTCAGTTCTAGTAGAAGTCTTTCCTGTTTTAAAATTGATTACTTCCTCTTTCTATAATCTCTTGTTTTATTATTTTCGAATGATTATTCTTTTGAGGAAAACGACTTTTTTCTTTTCTTTTCTTTTCTTTTCATCTTTTTAATAGAATATTTTTCAAAAATAAATCATTATTTTATTTTTTCATGTTTTTCTTCTGATAAGAAGATTATGTTCGAT